CAGCGTGTGTCAGTCAGCGTCAGTGTTTGTGTGTGCGTGTGTCAGTGTGTGTGTGTGTGTGTGTGTGTGTGTGTCAGCGTGTGTGTGTGTGTGCGTGTGTCAGTGTGTGTGTGTGTGTGTGTCAGCGTGTGTGTGTGTGTGCGTGTGTCAGTGTGTGTGTGTGTGTGTGCGTCAGCGTGTGTCAGTCAGCGTCAGTGTGTGTGTGTGCGTGTGTCAGTGTGTGTGTGTGTGTGTGTGTCAGCGTGTGTGTGTGTGTGCGTGTGTCAGCGTCAGTGTGTGTGTGTGCGTGTGTCAGTGTGTGTGTGTGTGTGTGTGTGTGTGTGTGTCAGCGTGTGTGTGTGCGTCAGCGTGTGTCAGTCAGCGTCAGTGTGTGTGTGTGCGTGCGTCAGTGTGTGTGTGTGTGTGTGTCAGCGTGTGTGTGTGCGTCAGCGTGTGTGTGTGTCGCTCGGCGCTGAGTAGTTCTGCTGCGTTTCCAGAGCAACGGTTCGGTCAACGTTCACATCGACATGGACCAGCCGGTGCAGAGCGAGCCCAGGCTGAGGCTGGTGCTGGCGGAGAACCTGCTGAGGGACGTCCAGGATGTGATCAGCAGGATGGAGGTGAGCTGCTCCTCCATCAGTCAGCTTCACTTCAGCTCAGGTTTCTTTCCATCTGGAAGCCTTCCTCCTCCTCCTGCTCCTGCTCCTCTTCCTCTTTCAGGGTCGATCCACGGACTCCTCCTCCCGAACAGAGACTCCTCCTCCTGCCGCCGCCGCGGCTCCCCCGCCGCCCTCCTCTTCATCCACCACCTCTACGCCCTCTCCCTCTGCCCAGCCCATGGACACCTCCCCTCCCCCCACCACGCCCCCACCGCCCTCCTCTGCACCGTCCGAGGGGCCGACCCCGCAGCCGGGGCCAAGGTGAGCCCGCAGGATGCTTCCTCTGCTCTTTTACTGCCTGGTTGCTTCCTGTGGCGTGTCATGACTCCTCCTTCTCCTCCTCCAGTCACCCCAGCCCTGCGGAGCTGGCGGAGATGCTGTCTGAGCTACGGAGGGTGGAGGAGCGGCTGCAGCCATTCATGCAGAGAGCCCACAGCATCCTGGAGACCGCCACCACCGCAGAATACAACAACAACACGGTAGGAGGCCCATTCCTGCAGGAGCCATGCTGGTTACCGTGGGAGACGCCCTCATTGTTTCTGATTTCTCCAGTTCGCAGTCAGACGGGTTTATGCTAACAGCTCTTAGCATCCTTTTAGCGCTAGCTCCCAGGCGGTCCACTTTACCCGGGGTTAGAGATAGCTGATGGTTCCTCAGAGGAAGCTGTTGGCTGCCCGTTAGCATCGACTGATTGGTGGGGGTGGCTAGCCACCAGCTGCTAGCCAGAGCAGCGGCTAGCCATCAGGTGCTATCAGAGCAGCAGCTAGCCATCAGCTGCTATCAGAGCAGCGGCTAGCCACCAGCTGCTATCAGAGCAGCGGCTAGCCACCAGCTGCTAGCCAGAGCAGCGGCTAGCCATCAGGTGCTATCAGAGCAGCAGCTAGCCATCAGCTGCTATCAGAGCAGCGGCTAGCCACCAGCTGCTATCAGAGCAGCGGCTAGCCACCAGCTGCTATCAGAGCAGCGGCTAGCCACCAGCTGCTATCAGAGCAGCGGCTAGCCACCAGCTGCTAGCCAGAGCAGCGGCTAGCCACCAGCTGCTATCAGAGCAGCGGCTAGCCACCAGCTGCTATCAGAGCAGCAGCTAGCCATCAGCTGCTATCAGAGCAGCGGCTAGCCATCAGCTGCTAGCCAGAGCAGCGGCTAGCCACCAGCTGCTATCAGAGCAGCGGCTAGCCACCAGCTGCTATCAGAGCAGCGGCTAGCCACCAGCTGCTATCAGAGCAGCGGCTAGCCACCAGCTGCTAGCCAGAGCAGCGGCTAGCCACCAGCTGCTATCAGAGCAGCGGCTAGCCACCAGCTGCTATCAGAGCAGCAGCTAGCCACCAGCTGCTAGCCAGAGCAGCAGCTAGCCACCAGCTGCTATCAGAGCAGCGGCTAGCCACCAGCTGCTATCAGAGCAGCGGCTAGCCACCAGCTGCTAGCCAGAGCAGCGGCTAGCCACCAGCTGCTATCAGAGCAGCGGCTAGCCACCAGCTGCTATCAGAGCAGCAGCTAGCCATCAGCTGCTATCAGAGCAGCGGCTAGCCATCAGCTGCTAGCCAGAGCAGCGGCTAGCCACCAGCTGCTATCAGAGCAGCGGCTAGCCACCAGCTGCTATCAGAGCAGCAGCTAGCCATCAGCTGCTATCAGAGCAGCGGCTAGCCATCAGCTGCTAGCCAGAGCAGCGGCTAGCCACCAGCTGCTATCAGAGCAGCGGCTAGCCACCAGCTGCTATCAGAGCAGCGGCTAGCCACCAGCTGCTATCAGAGCAGCGGCTAGCCACCAGCTGCTAGCCAGAGCAGCGGCTAGCCACCAGCTGCTATCAGAGCAGCGGCTAGCCACCAGCTGCTATCAGAGCAGCAGCTAGCCACCAGCTGCTAGCCAGAGCAGCAGCTAGCCACCAGCTGCTATCAGAGCAGCGGCTAGCCACCAGCTGCTATCAGAGCAGCGGCTAGCCACCAGCTGCTAGCCAGAGCAGCGGCTAGCCACCAGCTGCTATCAGAGCAGCGGCTAGCCACCAGCTGCTATCAGAGCAGCAGCTAGCCATCAGCTGCTATCAGAGCAGCGGCTAGCCATCAGCTGCTAGCCAGAGCAGCGGCTAGCCACCAGCTGCTATCAGAGCAGCGGCTAGCCACCAGCTGCTATCAGAGCAGCGGCTAGCCACCAGCTGCTATCAGAGCAGCGGCTAGCCACCAGCTGCTAGCCAGAGCAGCGGCTAGCCACCAGCTGCTATCAGAGCAGCGGCTAGCCACCAGCTGCTAGCCAGAGCAGCAGCTAGCCACCAGCTGCTATCAGAGCAGCGGCTAGCCACCAGCTGCTATCAGAGCAGCGCTAACTCTCCATGTTGGGCAGCGGCTCTGGGTTTTTGTTCTCCCATAATGCACCGGGACAGGAGTCGCCTTTCAGATGGCGCCACGTCTGAAGCTTGTTTCTTCCAGCAGGAGAGAGAGGACGACCAGAGAACTCTGGTCCAGATCTGCGAGTGTCTGCGTCTCCTTGGAAACGCCCTGGTTGCCCTGAGCGACCTGCGGCTGAACCTGATGAGTCCCGTCCCCCGCCACCTCCATGTTGTGCGCCCGTTCTCTCACTACTCCAGCCCCGTTGGCCTCCCTGGATCCATGCATCATCACATCCCAGTGCAGGTAGGCTCCGCCCACCTCCATCCCACTGGCAGCCCCTCCCCCACAGCCTGCTGATCTCTGCCGTTTTCCTCCACAGATGAACCTGGGTGCCACGGTGACCGTTGCCGCTAACAGCACTGAGGGGCAAGCTCCGCCCACCCAGCCAACCGGTCAGCCGGAACAGGCCAATCAGGGACAGAGCTCCCCCTCGCCGAGCACTCCGTCCAATCAGCAGGCTGGACAGGGACCGGGTGGCCCCCGGGTGATCCGGATCAGCCACCAGGCCGTCCCGGTGGTCATGATGCAGATGAACGCAGACGGTGGGTTTAACCCCCCCCCAGTAAAGGCTGGCTTATCCTCAGAAACCAGGTGGTCAGCGTGTTGCAGTCCCGCCCCCCTCTGCTGCACCTCTCCTAAATGAAGGTGTCGTAGCTGTCAGCGGACAGGAGGCCTCTGATTGGTCAATTCTCCATCCGCTCTGCTCTATGCGTACTTCCTGTTTGGTTCCTTACCGGTTTGTTTTGTTCGTATGACCGCCATGTTGAAAACGACTGAAGAGGGAGCAGGCGAGGTGCGCGAGAACGCTGGGAACATTTTCCACCTGGATCCCCGCTCTTATTGGCCCTCATGTCCCTCCGTTGTCCACAGCTACTTCCTGATTGGCCCTCTGGCGTGGCGTGGAATAACAGCGCAGACCGCGCTTCAATATGGGGCGGAAATCTAAAATATCTGCAACACGCTGCTGGGGGGGGATAAGCACACCTTTAGTGGGGAGGGGCGGGGTCTGATGCTGTCAGTGGGGGCGGGGTCTAATGCTGTCAGTGGGGGCGGGGTCTGATGCTGTCAGTGGGGGCGGGGTCTAACCTGAGCTTGCCCTCCCTCCCCAGGAGGAAGCAGCCCTGCAGCAGGAGGACAGCCGCTGGCCGGGCAGCCAGGTTCTTTATTCTCTTTCATTTGATTATTTTATGACTTTTTTAAATAGTTTATATTTTTATTCATTTCCTGTTTATTAAATCGCTTCTTTGTTGTTTTTCCTCCATTTTCTCTGATATTATTTATTAGTAAACTTTGTTTATTTCCATTTTTTTTATTTTATCAGATTTATTTAGTTTTTAATGATTTTATTGAGTTTGATTTTAAACGGCTGCTGGTTTTATCCTGCCGGCTTTGGCTCCGCCCCCCAGGTGCGCTCCCACCTGACTTCATGAGGAACGTCATGCAGCAGATCAGTCAGTACGCGGCAGCCGTCGCCACCAGCGCCGCCACCGCCCAGCCCTCACCCCCCAGCTCCACCCCCTCCGCCCCTCCTGCCTCCTCCCAGTCTGGGTCCCAGCAGCCCCAGCAGGCGCGGGTGGTGTTCTCCCGGCCCCCCTTCGCCGCTGCCGCGCCCCCCCCGGTGTTTGGCGCCCGGGGGACCACCATCAACGTGAGGGCGGCGGTGCCGGGCCAGCAGCCCGGACAGGTGGGTCCGATCGCTGCCGATGGTTGTGAGCGTTGAAGTCGTGGTTGTGACCCGATGCTTTTGCAGGCCTTCAGCCCGGCGGCTCTGAACCAGATGATCAGCGGACTGGTGGGTCAGCTGCTGGTTCCGGGACAGATGGGTGAGGAGCTCCTCTTTCAATCGGATCAGAACCTTTTCCTGTTTGATTACTCAACTTCTCTCTGTTCTGTTTTTGCAGCGGGTCAAACCGTCACCTCCTCCTCCTCCTCCTCCTCCTCCTCCTCCTCCTCCTCCTCCACTTCCTTCTCCTTTTCCGGTTCGGGTCCAAATCCGCCGCCTGCTGCGTCCAGCCAGAACCAGAGTGAGGCGGGCGCTGCTGAGCCCCAGCCGGACCTGGCCCCTGACCTCCGCCAGCTGCTGGGCTCCCTGCTGGGCGAGGCCGGGGGGCCCGCTGCTGGTTCCGGTCCGTCTGGAGCCCCTTCTATAACCGTCACCAGCTCAGGCGTCCCGGCCTTCATCCAGGGGGTGACGGACTTCATGCAGCAGGTCGGTGTCCCCCCCCCCCCCCCCCCCCACCCACCCCCCCCCCCCCCCCCTGCTCCATCAGAACCGGTTCTGACCCACTCTGTTTCTCTCCCAGGCCTCCCAGCCCATCTTCTCTCCTCCCCCCCAGGCCTCCGGACCCACTGCGGGGCCCGGCCCGGCGGGGGCAGCAGAGTCCCTGAACCCGGAGCTGTTCACCGGCATCCTGCGGGGGGTTCTGAACTCCATGATGGGCTCACTGGGTCAGAACCAGAACGACACCGAGAGCATCGCCCAGTTCATGCAGCGGCTGTCCCAGACCACCAACATCTTCTTCAGTCCAGAGGATCCCACAGGTGGGTTCCCCTCGGCGCCGAGCCCGATACACCTGGACCGGTTCTGACCCGGAATGGGTCAGACCCGGCCATCGTGTTCCGGTTCTGACCTGGCCGCCGGCAACTGGGTTCTGACCCGGCTTCTGTGGTTCTGACCCGGTTGCCGTGGTTCTGACCCGGTTTCTGTGGTTCTGACCCGGTTGCCTTGGTCCTGACCCGGTTTCTGTGGTTCTGACCCGGTTGCCTTGGTCCTGACCCGGATTCTGTGGTTCTGACCCGGTTGCCTTGGTTCTGACCCGGATTCTGTGGTTCTGACCCGGTTGCCTTGGTTCTGACCCGGATTCTGTGGTTCTGACCCGGTTTCTGTGGTTCTGACCCGGTTGCCGTGGTTCTGACCCGGTTTCTGTGGTTCTGACCCGGTTGCCGTGGTTCTGACCCGGCTTCTGTGGTTCTGACCCGGTTGCCGTGGTTCTGACCCGGTTTCTGTGGTTCTGACCCGGTTGCCTTGGTCCTGACCCGGATTCTGTGGTTCTGACCCGGTTGCCTTGGTTCTGACCCGGATTCTGTGGTTCTGACCCGGCTTCTGTGGTTCTGACCCGGTTGCCTTGGTTCTGACCCGGATTCTGTGGTTCTGACCCGGTTTCTGTGGTTCTGACCCGGGTTCTGTGGTTCTGACCCGGTTGCCGTGGTTCTGACCCGGTTGCCGTGGTTCTGACCCGGTTGCCGTGGTTCTGACCCGGGTTCTGTGGTTCTGACCCGGGTTCTGTGGTTCTGACCCGGGTTCTGTGGTTCCGACCCGGGTTCTGTGGTTCTGACCCGGGTTCTGTGCTGTGGTCTCCAGGGTTCTTCGGGGAGCTGCTGATGTTGGTGTGCCAGACGTTCACCATGTCTGACCTGGTGATGCTGCTCCACGGTCAGCACCAGCCGCTCAGCCGCATCCAGCCTCAGCTGGCCCAGTTCTTCACCCAGAACTTCCTGAGCGGCAGGGAGCCCACGGATCAGAACATCGCTGTCGGTACCGCTCCTCACGATTCTGTTCTCTGGCCCGCGCCTCCTGCTTCACACTCCTCCTCCTCCTCTTCTTCTGCAGGGAGCTGCTGATGGTCTGGTCACCGAGCTGCAGGAGTACATCAGCGAGAGCTTCGTGAGTCTGGGATGAAGATGAGGATGGGGATGAAGATGAGGATGGGGACGGGGATGAGGATGGGGACAGGGATGAAGATGAGGATGGGGACGGGGATGAAGATGAGGATGGGGACGGGGATGAAGATGAGGATGGGGACGGGGATGAAGATGAAGATGAGAATGAGGATGGGGATGGGGATGAAGATGAGGATGGGGACGTGGGACGAAGATGAGGATGAGGACGGGGATGAAGATGAGGATGGGGACGGGGATGAAGATGAGGATAGGGATGAAGATGAGGATGAGGACGGGGATGAAGATGAGGATGGGGACGGGGATGAAGATGAGGATGGGGACGGGGATGAAGATGAGGATGGGGACGGGGATGAAGATGAGGATGGGGACGTGGGACGAAGATGAGGACCGCAGTGGGGGACGGGGATGAAGATGAGGACCGCAGTGGGGGACGGGGATGAAGATGAGGACCGCAGTGGGGGATGGGGATGAAGATGAGGATGGGGAAGGGGATGAAGATGAGGATAGGGACGTGGGACGAAGATGAGGACCGCAGTGGGGGACGGGCATGAAGATGAGGATAGGGACGGGGATGAAGATGAGGATGGGGACGTGGGACGAAGATGAGGACCGCAGTGGGGGACGGGCATGAAGATGAGGATAGGGACGGGGATGAAGATGAGGATGAGGACGGGGATGAGGATGGGGATGAAGATGAGGATGGGGACGGAGATGAGGATGGGGATGAAGATGAGGATAGGGACGGGGATGAAGATGAGGGCCGCAGTGGGGGACGGGGATGAAGATGAGGATGGCGATGTAGATGGGGACGGAGATGAGGATGGGGATGAAGATGAGGATGGGGATGAAGATGAGGACCGCAGTGGGGGACGGGGATGAAGATGAGTATGGGGACGGAGATGAGGATGGGGACAGGGATGAAGATGCGGACCGCAGTGGGGGACAGGGTAGTTGTCTCCCCTCCCAGGCAGAGCTTCCTGTCCTTGTCCTGATCCTCCTTCTGTGTCTCCTGCAGAGGGAGTCCAACGTCTCTGTGCTGGACGGCGTGGACGTCACTCAGACCAACATGTCCTTTTTCAGACAGCAGCTGACGCAGATTGCCACGCACATCCTGCGCTGCTCAGGTGAGCGCCGCCTCACGTCGCCCCCTGCTGTTGGACATCCTGTTCTGAATCCCAGGGGACTCATCTTTGTGTCCAGATGAGACATTTGGTCCCAGACTGCTGCAGATGTGCAACCAGGCGCTGTTTGAGTGTCTGGCCCTCAACCTGCACTGCCTGAGAGGAGACCAGCGAGCGCTGACCGCCGTCATCAACCACCGCATCGTGAGTACGCTATGGAGGACAGGGGGACGGCTTCTGTTAGGGGACACCATAGAGGACAGGAGGACGGCTTCTGTTAGGGGACGCCATAGAGGACAGGAGGACGGCTTCTGTTAGGGGACGCCATAGAGGACAGGAGGACGGCTTCTGTTAGGGGACGCCATAGAGGACAGAATGTTCTGTTGTGTTCAAGCTGCAGCTGCTGTCAGCCAATCAGAGAGAGGGGGGCGGGTCTTTCCCCACCAACCAGCATGTCAGTGGCGGGGGGGGGGGGGGGGGGGGGGGGGGGGGCATAACTGGCCCTCCACCGTGCTCAATCATCAGCCTGAAGATAAACGGCCTCCCTCCTGCTCCTCCTCCTCCCTCCTGCTCCTCCTCCTCCCTCCTGCTCCTCCTCCTCCCTCCTGCTCCTCCTCCCTCCCCCTCCTGCTCCTCCTCCTCCCTCCTGCTCCTCCTCCTCCCTCCTGTTCCTCCTCCCTCTCCCTCCTGTTCCTCCTCCCTCCCCCTCCTGCTCCTCCTCCTCCCTCCTGCTCCTCCTCCTCCCTCCTGTTCCTCCTCCCTCTCCCTCCTGTTCCTCCTCCCTCCTGCTCCTCCTCCCTCCCTCCCTCCTGCTCCTCCTCCTCCCTCCTGCTCCTCCTCCTCCCTCCTGTTCCTCCTCCCTCCCTCCCTCCTGCTCCTCCCTCCCTCCCTCCTGCTCCTCCCTCCTCCCTCCTCCTCCTCCTCCCTCTTCCTCCTTCCTCCTCCCTCCTCCCTCCTCCTCCTCCTCCTCCTCCTCCTCTGTTTTCCAGCGCCGCATGTCGACTGACATCAGCCCCAGTCTGGTGAACTGGATGACCAGCATGATGACCATGAGGCTGTGGGTGATCCTGGAGCACATCCCCGTGTCCCAGGAGCAGGTCCAGCACTACATCGTCCCCTCTCAGGTATCTGTCCCGCCATGGAGGTGTTGCCAGGCGGCGTATCGCCTTACGCCAGGCGGCGTATCGCCTTACGCCAGGCGCCTCATCAATCATGGATGGCTTTGTCTTCCACAGACGGATCCCGGTCCTGCCGGCGGCTCCCAGGACGCTCAGAGTGCCACGGTGAGCTCGCCGTCTCCCTGTTCCGTCTCTGTCCTGATCCTCCCTCATGGTTCTGTCCTCCGCAGATCGGAGACACTCTGTCCCCCGCCGCAGCCACCACGGCAGAGGAGGCCATGTCGCACGACAACGCCGCTGCGTCGTCAAGGGAGACCAGAGCGTTGCCTGGAGATCTGGGAGCGTCGGGCGGTGCGGCGCCTCTAGGGGGCGACATGGTGGCAGCAGGAGCAGAGGGAGGCAGCGAGGAGTCTGAGAGCTGGGCCGCCGCCGTCCCTCCTGTAAGATGGAGGCGTCCAGCTGCTGTTCTTCATCCCTCTGCCTCCTCTTCCTCGCTCATCGTCTGCTCTCTCTCTGTCATGAAGGAGTGGGTTCCCATCATCAGGCGCGACATGATGACGCAGAGGAAGATGAAGGCTCAGCCGCCGCTCTCTGACGCCTACCTCCACGGCATGCCGGCCAAGCGCAGGAAGGTAGGTGGAGCCGTGGCGGTGGGCGGAGCCGCTCACAGCGGCGTCTGTCTCATCTCGCTGTGCGTTGTTCCTCAGACGGGCCAGGGCGGCGGCAGCCTCCTCTCCCTCTCAGACGCCGTCAGTCAGGCGGCCAGGAACGTGGGGGTGAGGCCCATCACCTCCCCGGAGCAGCTCCAGGCCGACCTGGAAACGCAGGAGGTGAAGGAGGCGTACTCGGAGCAGGTAGGAAGGTTCCGGGCTCAGGTTGGCCTCCGGGCTCACCGCCATCTTAACAGTCAGCTGTTCCCCTCAGGTCAAAGCCGACGTGAAGAAGCGCGTCAGAGACGACCCGGAGTTCAACCCGCAGCAATTCCCCAACGCCCACAGAGCCTTCGCCCCCGACTCCTAACGCTCCGCCTGCGCCTCCCCAGCAGCAGCCTCAGGGTGCCGAGCCTCCCTCTCCTGTGGGGGGGGGGGGAGTCTGAGGGGCGGGGTCTGAGCCTCCCTGTGGTTCTAAGGGTTCTGAGCTCCAGAGGCTTTCCAACCAGCAGAGGTTCTACCACCCAAACCCAGAGCTGGTTCTGATCCAGGACCAGAATCTTTGTCTGTCGGCCCAAAAGCCTCCAGAGTTCTGATCCGATCACAGAAAGTTCTGGAATCGATGTCAGAACCGACCCAGTGGAAGGACGGCTTCCAGCGCCCTCTGCTGGGGAGCCCCATATGGCAGAGTTTGACCAACAGACCAGCTGATGATGATGATGATGAAGGTAGAACCCATCATCATCATCACTTCCTGCTGGCGACCGTCGTCTGTTTCTCCTCTTCCTCCTATTTATGGCTTCAGCTCCTCCTTTAAGATGATGTTCTCCTCCCAGCTGCTGCTTCCTCCATGATGATGATGATGATGATGATGATGAACACACAGACTGTGATGCTGTTTGGTTGATGAATGTACAGCAAAGCTAATAAAACCTGATCTGAACTCTGACCTTTGATGATTCTGATGTTTAACTTTAAATCAATAAACTGATCATGAAGCTCAAACATGTAAACAGGTTTAGTCTCTGCAGGTGGGTTTCTCTCAGAACCAGCTGCTGACGCTCAGCAGGTGGGTTCCTCAGAACCAGCTGCTGACGCTCAGCAGGTGGGTTCCTCAGAACCAGCTGCTGACGCTCAGCAGGTGGGTTCCTCTCAGAACCAGCTGCTGACGCTCTGCAGGTGGGTTCCTCTCAGAACCAGCTGCTGACGCTCAGCAGGTGGGTTCCTCAGAACCAGCTGCTGACGCTCAGCAGGTGGGTTCCTCAGAACCAGCTGCTGACGCTCAGCAGGTGGGTTCCTCAGAACCAGCTGCTGACGCTCAGCAGGTGGGTTACTCTCAGAACCAGCTGCTGACGCTCTGCAGGTGGGTTACTCTCAGAACCAGCTGCTGACGCTCTGCAGGTGGGTTCCTCTCAGAACCAGCTGCTGACGCTCAGCAGGTGGGTTCCTCTCAGAACCAGCTGCTGACGCTCAGCAGGTGGGTTCCTCAGAACCAGCTGCTGACGCTCAGCAGGTGGGTTCCTCTCAGAACCAGCTGCTGACGCTCTGCAGGTGGGTTCCTCTCAGAACCAGCTGCTGACGCTCAGCAGGTGGGTTCCTCTCAGAACCAGCTGCTGACGCTCCGCAGGTGGGTTCCTCTCAGAACCAGCTGCTGACGCTCTGCAGGTGGGTTCCTCTCAGAACCAGCTGCTGACGCTCTGCAGGTGGGTTCCTCTCAGAACCAGCTGCTGACGCTCCGCAGGTGGGTTCCTCTCAGAACCAGCTGCTGACGCTCCGCAGGTGGGTTCCTCTCAGAACCAGCTGCTGACGCTCCGCAGGTGGGTTCCTCTCAGAACCAGCTGCTGACGCTCCGCAGGTGGGTTACTCTCAGAACCAGCTGCTGACGCTCAGCAGGTGGGTTCCTCTCAGAACCAGCTGCTGACGCTCCGCAGGTGGGTTCCTCTCAGAACCAGCTGCTGACGCTCTGCAGGTGGGTTCCTCTCAGAACCAGCTGCTGACGCTCCTAGGGTTGGGAATTGAAAAGATTTTCACGATTCCGATTCCCTTTTCGATTCTATGAAACGATTCGATTCTTTATCGATTCTTTTTTCGATTCCAATTTGGGGAAAAAAGGAGAACAAACAGTTTGATTATCAGCATCAACTTTGTTTACTTAACTATTGCACAATCTTACAAACTCAACAAGATCAAGATGTCACCAGGAAATGTGAAACTGGAGTAACATCTGTGTTTAAATGAAAAAATGAATATAAGAACAAACTTGATAACCAACAATGTCTAATAACAAATGATGGGATAATAACCTATTTTAAATAACAAAAAATACTAATTATAAAACAGTAGTAGGGAAAATTAACAGTTCTTTTGCAGAAAGATGAGCATATCTGCTTTTTCTGGAAGGATACGGGATCTTTCAGGGCTTATGGTGTCTCCAGCCGTGGAGAACACCCTCTCAGATGGGGTGGAGGAAGCCTGCACACAGAGGTAGTTTTCAGCCAGTCCAGATAGCAAGGGCAGCGTATCTTGCTTGTTCCACCACCACAGTGTGGCGCTATCCCTGCAGGGGATGGAGGGCAAGCTTTTATAGAGCTGGATTTCCTGATCTACCCTCTGGGCTAAGGAAAGACGGGGCTTTGATTCACAAAGTGACCGCAGCTCGTTGTCTTCCTCCTCGAATAGTTCTTCCAACTTGCGTAACTTACGTAACGTACGTAAAAAACGTGACGTAAGTCGTGCTCCCCAGAGCCGGCGCTCTCGGCTCTGGTGCTGCGGGAATCGAAAAAAGAATCGTTCAGCGAGCTGCCAAACGATGCCATGGAATCGGAAAATACAGAACCGGTTCTGAACAGGAACCGGTTTTCGATTCCCATCCCTAGACGCTCCGCAGGTGGGTTCCTCTCAGAACCAGCTGCTGACGCTCAGCAGGTGGGTTCCTCTCAGAACCAGCTGCTGACGCTCCGCAGGTGGGTTCCTCTCAGAACCAGCTGCTGACGCTCAGCAGGTGGGTTCCTCTCAGAACCAGCTGCTGACGCTCTGCAGGTGGGTTCCTCTCAGAACCAGCTGCTGACGCTCTGCAGGTGGGTTCCTCTCAGAACCAGCGGCTGACGCTCCGCAGGTGGGTTCCTCTCAGAACCAGCTGCTCCCGTCTGTCGCTCTGCAGGTGGACAGAAGAAGAAAAGATGTTTATTGATGAGGAGATTCAGACTGAACAGGAAACGAAGTTAAAAAAGGACGACGGCAGAATTAAATCGACTGTTTCTACAAACCCAGCTTTAGATTTGGTCTCTTCTGTCCTGCTAGCCGCTGCTAGCTGCTGCTAGCTGCCCCCTCCAGCTGAAGCCTCCCTGATCAGCTGTCTGAACAGAGCTGGCAGTGCAGTTACCCACAATCCTTTGCTAACTGTTCGGGTTGTCAAAGCCCAGCAATTGCTCTGTTCGAAAACCTAGGATACGTCCTTAGAAGAACAGATTCGAAGGCTGATGACGTCAAAGCGCGGCGCCGAGGTCTGGTCGGATTCCAAGAGTCCTCGTTATGCGGCAAAATCTCTGAATATTCAACAACAAAACATACGTAGTTAAGCATATTGTGCAAAACAGCAATAAAAAGATAAAAATCCTATCAGATTTATAGTCCCACCCTGCAGATCTATTAGAATCTGTCCTTTAATTACAGCCGGGCTAAAAGAAGGACGCATTTTAAGGCCGCATAACGAGGACTCTTGGAATCCGACCAGACCTTGGCGCCGCGCTATGACGTCATCAGCCTTCGAATCCGGTCTTCTAAGGATGCGTCCTAGGTTTTCGAACAGAGCCTAGGTTTTCGAACAGCCAATATTTCCTCCTGGTTCTCTGACTCATGCTGATGTTCTGCAGATGTTTGGGTTTTGTAGTTCTCCTCCTGAAGCTTGTAGTCCTAATCTGATCTGCTTCCATGTGTCTCCATAATCTCTGCTCCATGGAAACCTTGTTTACCTGCTGGGTGTTTAAAGGCGGCTTTGGTCTCCTAGACAACAGTAAAACCTGGAGGTAGGTTCTGCCATCTAAACGCCTTCAGAGGCAGAAATGGCCGCCCAGGTGATGGAGTGCCTGGTAGAACCGGTACTGCCTGTTTGATCCGCATCAAAAGTGAAAATAACTTCTGAAAATCCTTTTTTAATTAACAAAGGCTGGTTAATTAGTCTGAATTTAACCTGCCGCACCTTCAGGACTCCAGCAGGTGGAGCAGGAGAGCATCTCATGACGTAATAAAGGTTTTAATGAGCCTCTAATGAAGGAAATACTAACAGACGTCTGATCTCAGACATGTTGGCGAACAGGTTGAACAGCTGAGGACTGCAGCTCCTGGTCTGCATCCTGGTCGGGCTGCAGGAATGTCAGCAGTTACACCTGCTGTGTCATCAAAGCACAGGTGAGCGTCTGTCACTGCTGCTGCCATGGAGGACGGACGAGTTTAACCACCGTAAGAGAACAGAGCAAACTTTGACTCTCAGCAGGTGACAGAATGAGTGGCCATCCAGTCTACTCTGTCTAATGTCCGTCTGTCTGTCTGCAGGCAGTCTAAACTGAACAAACTGAGGGTGAAGCAGCTTCAGCAGATAAAACTGAATCAAAGGTTTGGTGACAGAAGCTGCTGGAGGCTGATTCCTCTAACTGCCTCCCTGAGTTCAGGAAGTAACCTGATCCCTCCCTCTACATAGCCCGGCCTAATGGGGCAAACAGAACCACTGGTGTGGAGACTCCGTTTCCATGGTGACCCTCTGTCTACATGAATGGCTCAGTGTCTCTGCAGCCTTTAAACCGACACAGATCTTGATAAACTTTCATTTCTTTCATCAGAAGGAAAAACTACGGGATTTAAATGTTTACAGTTCCTCATATTTACCTTTGTTCATCTGTTTGCTGCTGGCAGATCTGGATTCATCCACTGATGGACAAACAGCATTTCTACTATTAGAGCAGCACTTCAACCCACTCACTTCTAAATTACTGACATTTTTAATATTAATTTCAACTACCAGTTTTAGTCCGTGAGGCAGACACCCTGTCTACTTTTAAGGCTAGGCTTAAAACTTTCCTTTTTGATAAAGCTTCTAGTTAGAGTGGCTCAGGTTATCCTGAGCTATCTCTATAGTTCTGCTGCTATAGGCTTAGACTGCTGGAGGACATAGGGACCCCTGTGTGTTTCCTGGACGGGGCCGCCTGTGGAGCTGGTTGACAGTTGCCTTTTTTATCTATGCTTCTTTTTCTATGTCTGCTTCTGTCTCCTTGAACCCCAGTGGGCCTCAGCAGATGGCCGCTCACACTGAGCCTGGTTCTGCTGGAGGTTTCTTCCTGTTCAAAGGGAGTTTTTCCTCTCCACTGTCGCTACAAGCATGCTTAGTGTGAGGGATTGCTGAAGAGTCAATGAGTCGATGCAATCAGCTGGTTTTCCTTAGATAGAAAACTTT